GCATGTGTTTTGCCCCCCCCCCCCCTCCCCCCCTGAAACAGCCGTCACGGGCAGGGCAAACATTGGCCGGCGGCGCCCAAAGGATACCAAGGGCTTCGCCCCCCGGCCCGGGGGAGGGGGGCGGGGGTCTGGTTCCCCCCCCCCCCCCCCCCAACTCAAAAACAAGTTGGTACGCCACTGCCTACCAGGGAATTTTCGAATCCCCCGGCAGGGAGACGCTGCACCAAAACTTTTAGTGGATTTAGAAGGTGAGTTGTTTGTATTGTCAGGTGATTCTACACCACTGGACACACAATGCTAAAAGTCCGTTTTCAAACCAAAAAACAAAACATGTGCCGTTTTGAACATTTGAAGTAGTGTGAAAAGTAGTGGTTACTCTTTCAAGTAAAGGTCAATTGCCTTTCTTTTCAAGTAATCTAATTTAATGTTTTGTAACCGAGAGTAATAAATAGCAGTTGTGATCGATTACCTTTGTGGAGTAATGTGCGCAAGACTGGTATGAAACAAATATGAATCAAACATCTGTGAGGAGTCTACGCAGATAATTTAGTCATCACAACTGCAGAAAACACCGTGTCTTTTATACGATGTATCATCGGTGGGACCTTACAGATAAGGTATGGTCGAGCGTGGAGTCAGCGCTTGTTACTTCGAGGCATTTGCGAAAGTGGCAAATTTCTTTTTTACGCGTCTTTCGCGGCAGTATCTTTTGAAAGGCAGAAAAGAGGCGCTCTCTTCTCGTACTTCACGCCCGTTCAGGCAGCTAGGCATACGGCACCACGTCTGTCGCCGTTTCGTTGACGCCATTTTGAAGTCAGCAAAACCGTCCCCTCTCTCCTGAAGAAAATAATCCCCGGAGGGGGAACAAGGGGGACAAGGGACAAACACAAATCTCCAAACAGAACTAGGTGATTGGTGCGCGGCCGAAAAATTCCGCCTGGTCCTAGTCTCGAACCAGGGAACTCTCCATTTCCAGTGGAGAGATCCACCACCTAGCTGTGCTTGGAGATTTGTGTTTGTCCTTTGCCCCCCTTGTTCCCCTTCTCCAGGAATTTTTTTGCCACTCTTGTCCAGATCGCTTGCACTTTCACATTAATTGCATTATCATCATAACCTTAAAAATGCAGGCCGTTTACCCTTACTGGTATTAGACAGGTGGCAGTTGATACAACCCGTTTGCTCCACTGACGTTTAACTCCTTGTTAGCTCGGTTGGTAAACCGCTCCAATGGAAATGGAGAAGGCCCTGGTTCGATAGCACGACCAGGCGGATTTTTTTGGCCGCGCACCAGTCACCTAGCTCTGTTATGAGATTTGTGTTTGTCCTTTGCTCCCCTTGTTCCCCTTCTTCAGGGATTATTTTCGTCATTCTTGTACAACTCGCTTGCTCCTTTGCATGAATTACATTATCATCATAACCCTCTCCCCTGCTTCCGTGACGAACGGGCAAAAACGCGTTTTAACACTTGCATTTCTTTTCTCGCTTGAGATCGGCTACCCTCAGGGAACATCAACGATACCTACTATACTCTGCTTCACCGTAACTTGACAAAGAGCGAACAGTAAGCCCATTGGAGCGAATGAAAGCGACAATGCGAAGCAGGTGACAGCTCGTGCCAAAGATAAAGGTTTTATCCAAGCCGTTGAGGAAGAGAGGAAGGAGGACCGCCTTCTTACCCTATTTTGTGCACCCCAGGCGTCGCTTTCGTCCACGTCGCAGTCTTGCCAGATTGCGCTATATATATCCGAATTGAGCTACATATTTTTCTTGTTGGCGTCGATATTTTGTGGTTGACTATGTGGCTATTTCGGGGCTATTTCTAGGAATGCGGCGAACGTTTGTCGAACCTCAGGTTCGACGTCGAACTTTGAGATTCGACTAGTTACTTTTCAACCTTCTCATCAGTTTCGAAAAAAAAAAATTCTCTTGGCTAGTTGAGAGGAGAAAGAGGAAGGAAAAAGGCTTCAAATTTGTACGAAATTCGGGGTTTTCACAATGCTCAGAGAAGCAATGCTTACGCGGTTCAGGCGGTCTCCCCACAGCTCAGTGGAACAGACCAAACAAACTGATTGCACTGTTACCACAGGGCCGGTAGCGCGTCCTCTACCCGGACGTGGACAAAACTCCCCAAACGCTGCTTTGGGGCCCATTGTGAGGATCCTTAGGCACCTAAGTTCGTAAAAATATGGTGTTCGCGGCTTCTCCACTAAACAATTGATTACCTTCCAGTCGTCGGCCACCCCAAGAAAAGACAACACAATCAGAAATAGCGTAAACCAGAATGGGGGACACTCATATTCTACACGAAGAAAACGAGGCGGGTGGGATATTGGTAAGGACCTTAGACATTGGGGATTCTTGTTTGCGAAGCCCAGTGCTTTGACTGTTCTGCTTCTCTATTCTGTTCTTTTACGGCATGATCACATCTCCCGGGCTTCACAAATAAAGCTGTCTTTGGGTGTTTTATACTAACTTTTGAAACCTTACAAAAGAAGGGTCACTGTTGTACGGACATCCTTTCGAAGCTTTTCTTGAAAATTTCACAAGTGGCATAATGTACACACAACGTGGCGAATCTAAGAGTTGAAAAAGAGAATGTAACGTGTTTTAATGTGCGTAAAAAATTGTTAATAAAAGGCCTAAAAATCGTTGTTTTTAGTCTTGGCTATTTTAACTATTTTGGCTTTTTTTTTACGGTTTTGGGCCTTCCTGCCGTTTGGCGGTTTTTTCTGGGACCATCTGGCAACACTGCCCCCTTGGAGATTAGACCGTCACTATGGTGGCTGGAAGTGTGACGGGCGCCGTATGCGCGCAATGATAAAGAAGGGCGCGATACGCGATGGAAACTTTGAGAGAGCCTAGATTGTAGAGAAAGTTCGGCTCTACCCATAGCGTGCGTTTACAATTTAATGGCGGACACCACCGGCGAAGATTGTTCGCAAGGGCTTTTCGGTTGTGTTTTCGAGTGGCGAGAAGGAAAACAGGCGAAAAGTCTTAAAGGCTCGCAGGCGAAAAACGCGTTAGTCAGCTCCTCGCAGCTCGTATTGCAAACACGGCCCATACACCTCGTGACCCCAATCGAGCACTTGGAAACGCCCTATAAAGGTGTATCCACACGACGGACCAAATTGCTGTTTTGGTCCGCGGGCCGCGCATCACGTGATCTTACGTCACCGGTTTTCGAGGTCCGCCGGCGGTCCGCGGTCCGCACTTGTGAGAAATGCCAAGCGACTTTTCTCGCCCGGACCTTGGCGGCGGACCGCGACGTTTTTAGTATAACTGAAGTGATAAGTCTGGCAAGAAGCTGACTTTTGTTGTTTGGATTGGAATCCAAATCCAAAGTCGTGTTCTTTTGGCGCTAACAGTTGAAGGCGAGGGAGACGAACCTTTTGCTGTGCGACGATGGCGGCATGGTGCGACGATGCAACTTTTTACTTCATCGCGCTAGTGGAGCGATTCCCCGCTCTGTGGGACAATGGATGCATGCCCTTTTCGGTTCACTTAAGTCCTCCTCGTCCTCAATAGTCAACGCCAGGGCCACCGCGGTCAAACGTCCCTTTCGTTCAACCTCCATCTTGGCTCCTTACAAGTAGCCTCAAAGCAGCACGCTGCATGCGTTTGGCGGAGCTGTGAGGTCGAGGGTTAGATCGGCCCGTTCACTCTGTCGTTTGCTCTTTTGGTCCGCCATGTGGATGCTCATTGCAGCCGGGCGGCCCGCGGGCCGCGCATCACGTGATCAATCGGTCCGCGGCCCGGTCCGTCGTGTGGATACACCTTAAGGAGTATTCACTGGGCGCCATATTTGTGGGTGATGTCTAGAGCGCATGCTCTGAACGAGCCCACATTAATAGGCTGCTAAGACCGGCAATCTTGAGGGTGCGAAATGCACGTTACAAAAGAACTGTGGAAGCTCGCCATCAGCACGCGCTCAGCAGTCGTGCACACAGCTATGGCCGCCAGTGAATATTTCCTATAAGGTAGGATCTCTCAATTTTTCGGGGCCGCTGACTCGCCTGCTGGCTGCAAGCATCCATAAAGGAACATACGCTTGGGTTGCTTGGGTTGCTTGACTTACTAAAAAAGAGTATTCCTTTGGGTTGCTTGGGTTCCCAAAAAAGAGGACTGCTTGTGTTGCCAAAAAGCTCGTTTCCTTTCAATGCCAGAGAAAGGCCTGTATTTGTAGCTCGGGACACGAACAAAGCTGACTCGCTACGTTTTGTTGAATATTCTACCTGTACACAGTGCGACGCTCTTTTGGGCAAAAACAAAATACGACGGAGACAGATAATGAGCTTGATTAAAAGAGAAATACAACTTTCGGGGTGTTGCCGTGTGCGAAACACATGGCGTGCTACTGTAAAGCTGGCGAGAGAAACCTTGTGCGATCAATTACTGCAGACGCCCTAATGAGTCACGAACAGACCTTGGTCTATCATCCACAGCTCAGGTGTTCCACGTGCCTCGCGTGCACGGCTTTGTATTTCGCCTGACAGAGTCTCTCCTGCCGAGTTCAGTCGACAAGGTCAAGTTCATTACCCGTACGGGCTAGACTCCTGCCAGGACTGTTGGCGTCGGGTAACTAGAACTCATTTTCCATCATTTCTCTGTTCCTAAAATTATCGCTTTTTACAATATTCCAAGGATCCTGCGTTTGTGTTTTCTTTGTGAAGAACCAAACAAATCTACCTTGTCCGGTAGCTCCATTACAATGCTGGAGCATCTGCGGCTCAGCTACGGCAGGCTATGAGATGTATGCTTTTCGGGAACATTCCCTGACCGCACCCTTGCTGATGAATACGGCATGTTCTTCTCAAGCTCCTTGCGATTGGCGCCTGATATGACCTTTAAAATTACAGGCAATCAAAGTTCCTGCGAGATTTGAAGTGATTATTATGGTGCAGTTTGCGGTGGTCGAGCGTATTAGCACACCGCAACGCCTCAACTCATCAGCACGTGAAGGCAACGTTCGAGTTACAGAATAAAATATTTATTAACTCAAGTTTCTCTACTGCCGATTTCGAAATGAATGAGCGATGTTCCTACGTGAATTCGTGTAATCACGGATTCTTTTTAGCCGCGTGACGCACAGGTTTCCAGTCGTACAGCACAAGCCAAATTACAGGGCACACCGATATCTCACTCTATGAACATTCTAGAACTTCCAGTTCTTTTTTTATCACTCTATTAAAAAATACAGCTGCTACCAACGGTGTATTTTATATGCTTGCAAACAATATACACTGCGCGACACCGTTAGCGACAACTTTGGTGCTTTTGCGCATTTTACCTCCATAAAGTACTGGCGGGAATGAAAATTTATCGCTTAGGTTAGTACTCGAACTGAGAACTTTCTACCACTGATAGTAGTTTTGATGGCTGTTTTTCGATTCTTAGAGACAAACATAAAAAAACGGCACTGTTAGCGCGACACTGTTCGCGCTAACAGTGTCGCGGAGTTTTGCATTCTATAGACTCCGCCCTTGTGAACAGTGTTCTCTCGCAGGAAAGCCTTCTCCGTCCAGCGGCGACTTCAGGCTAAAGAGGAGGTCACTCATATTGAGCACGGAATGTCCACACCGATGTCTTCTTCGGTGGCGACGGATGACACAGTCTCTGCGATGGCCATGACTCCGATCCGGGTGTCTGGTGGCAACAAGACGGACATCCTGCTGAAGACTTTGCGAAAATTCCTCTGGTGTCTCGCCCTGAGCTTGCTGGTTCCGTCGCTGGCGTTCCGGCTGACCAGCGCGTTGCTGTGCTGGGGCAAAGACAGGGACCAGGTGGTCGTGCTTGACAACCTGATGACCATGGTGCGTGAGGTCGTCGCTATCGTTTCCGGAGCCATCTACTGCTTCAGACCACCACCAGACCTTGAGCGTCCCGAGAGGTAAGTTTCAGATTAAGGGTCGATGTGCCGTCCTCTACTGTAATGCACAATGCGGGCTGATGCTATATGATGTGGCCAATTATCCTGGGGAAAATTTGCATTACTCGCACGCTACTGTATGGCTCATGGGCTGACTGGTGCCCTATGACGTAGCCGATTATGCAGAATCTTAGAGCGTAGCTCTTAAGGCCTGATCACACTAAAGTCACTGGATTTGGATCACACTAGCGGCAACGGCGCCGCCAGTCGGCGCCGCTGGGTGGCACAGCCGTCCGGCGTACCAATGCGAGGAGGCCACATTGGCTTCCGTTTTGCGGGCGTCACGGGACAGCACTTTCAAACGTCGGCTACTATCTTTGCTTCAACGAATCCTAATCCACCCAAAAATCTAGGCCCGATAACAGCCTTCAATAAACTTCCACAAAGAGACCAACAGTTACAACAAAAAAAAAAACAGGTTACCAAACATCAAACACACCCTTGTACCGCGAACATTGGTCACTTAAAAGATACAAAAAAAAAGAAGAAAAAACTTTACTCCTTCTCCCCCCCCCCCCCCCCCCCCCCCCCCAAACCTTCAAAGTGAACAACGAATCCGACCTTCACGAAGAAGGACTGCTAGTTTTCAAGACTGACTGAAAAGCACTACCTTCTTCTACACTTGTTCGTCTTGCGAACAGCAGCCTCGAGCAGCAACTGTTGTTAAGTTCGAACAACGAACTTTGTTAGATTGAAACGTGTGACGTTGTTGTAAAACGCTCGTGCAATGTGGGGTAACAGTACTTTTGGCTAGTCTGAACTGCCCACCACAAGCATGAATATAATTAAAAGCTGAAATTTTCAAAGGTAAATATATCAACAAATGAAACCCTGCTTCCACTTTTTTTCTTCTCCTGGTGCCCTTCCATCACAGCATTCAAATTCGTATGCTCCCATTTGATGAGATAGATAAAAAGAAAGAAAACTTTCCTCGATCTAACTAAATATGGTAATTCGCAAAATACAAATGTAACATATATGTAACGATACGTTCCATTTTTTAACTGTAACGGGAACGAGTTCCTTTTTCACATATGGAACTTGTAACGGGAACCCGTTCCAAAAGTCAGGAGGAACGAGGAACGGTCTTTCGTTGTAGTAATGTAGATAGTTGAGCTAGCTGGTATTTAGAACACATACCTAAAACAGCGCTCTTTCCTGTGTCTATTCTCTTCCTCTTGTGTGTGTGCGCTGTTTTAGGTATGTGGTCTTTCGTTCCTTTTTTTTTTTCTTTTTGAGGAACGTGCACAACACTGGGGCAAGTCTTCGCGACGCTAGTGTGGTCGGGCCTTTCTGCACTCGTTCTCGTGTTTTTGCGGCATCGGCGTCGCCGTCGCCGTCGCTGTCGAGGTAACCGGAGGAGGGGAGGGCATGAAGAAGGAGGGGAGGATATCGAGGAGGAGGAGGGGAAGGTACTGAGAAGGAGGAGGTGGTACGCAGAAGGAGGAGAGGAGGGTAAGCAGGAGGAAGATAGGATGGAATGGAGGAGGAGTACGAGTATGGAGGGGGAGGAACGTGTATGGAGGAGGGGGCAGGGTACGGAGGAGGAGGAGGGGGGGTTCGGAAGAGGAGGAGGAGAGGATACAGAGGAGGAGGGTATGAAGGAGGAAGAGGACATGCAAGAGGAGGGGGGTGCAGAAAGAAGGTTACGTGATCACGTCAAGTTACGCGATCACGTAACTTCACGGGATCGTAACCACGTAAGTTTGCGTGCAGAAAGAAGGTTAGTGATCACGTGAAGTTACGTGATCACGTAAGGTTACGTAATCACGTGACTTAAATAATCCCGTGAAGTCTATATTTGTACTTAGATATATTTCTTTCTCAAATTCTTTAGCTCGGTATATCGCAAAATCAAAATACCTCAAGACCTGCGCTCTAATTTCGCATATCAGAAATTTGTAAACGTCTTTCATTTCCTAAAAAAAACACATGGAAAGGAAAAATATTTTTAACAGTCTGGTTGGGAAAAGGAATTCATAAAACGAATTTACAGCGAAAAAGAAAAGTCTTTAGAGCTATGTTTCGGCGCGATACGAATTTTTAGTTGGCGTCCGCGGGCGCAACGGAAAAGTGGCAGCTATTTATCACGTGACTGGCCGCTATTTGTCACGTGGTGCTTGCGCTCTTTCGGAAGCTTCCTATGGCCTCCAAAAGTACACTTATTCATTTTTGTTTGAAGTATAACAAAAAAAAAAAAAAAAAACTAAGATTAGTAAGTAACTTTTAGAGCCCAAAAGAAACTCCTGAAAAAGCGCAAGCAGACGTGATAGACCTGTGCGCCGGTCAAATGACAACGGCGGCGCCCCGGAGCCGACGAACTTGTGCGGCGGCGGCGGCGTGACTTTGAGGCGGCAGCGGCGCCGCGCGACGGCGCACAGGTCTACCACGTGACTCGTGGCAGCGTCCGCGGGTGCCAACTACAAATTCGTTTTGCGCCGTAAATATAGCTCTAATAAAATTTTCTTCTTAGTAAATGCTTTTCATATTACATTCTTTTTCCGTCTAGGCTGTTTAAAAACATGTGTTTTTTTATTTTTTAAGGGAGATGTGTATTATTCGCGAGCGTCTCCTTCTTGTGCAGATGAGTCTTTTCGAACTTGCCTGAAGGGGAGCTCAAACAACGTGTGCAGCGGCTTGGTGGGGTCCCTGCCTGTCAAGCAGGAGGAAATAGCCGTTTTGGGTTATCGGTGAAAAGAACAAATCCAAGAGAACAGCTCTGCGGCAGAAATGTGATATTAGCAACAGCAACGACAACACAACACCTTTTGTGTTTGCGGAGTTTCGTTTTGTACCGTACTACACATGCTACTTGCACGGATGTCGAAATTCAAGGGGTATCATTTAGCCTCCGTAGGTAGGAACATAACGAAGGTACATTATGCTTGAGGGTACAGCAAACCAACAGCCGTATCAATCATTGGTCTGACGGCCCAAAAACCTATTGTATTTTCTTTTAAAGGCTGCGGGAGACTGTCTTTTATTTATATGAATAAGCTTAAATGACTTAAATGGGTGCCAGACACAGAAAGAGACCCTCAAATGAAGCTCGCTAGGAGGTGCGACGTGAAGCCAGCTGGTGGTGTCTACGCAGGGACAGCTTGAGCCGTCGTCTTCGTGTTTCTTGCTACCTGGAGCTAGTGGCGTACGCCTTGCTCTATATTCCACACTTGTTCCTGACCCTCCTGTGGAACAACAGCGAGGCCATCCTGACCATGCTCTTCCTCTGCGTCGACGTGGAGCACCTGGACCATGGCACCTTGTCCAAGGCCATCTTCGTCGGAGACTACATCGGGTAAAGAACCGCAGTCTACTCGCGTCTTCTAAGCCGCGCTCACACCGTTAATATATCATACAAAAGGCAGTCTACACGCAGTGTTTGAGGCGTGCTTCTTCCTTGTATGACGGTCCTGTCGCGTGGTCATAAAAAACTGTTTTTAGACGTGTTTGAAACTCATGAAGGAAACAAGCTTGGAACACGCTTGAGGCATGTCCCCAGGTAATAGGGAGTTTTAGGGAACCGTTTTCGCACATGTGATAGGGTGCGATAGGCCCTCCGGTACGAACTTGGAACGTGCTACCGCAGAAGACTCTCACGTGTGCAGTTCGTACCGCACGACCCATAGTACCGTATCGGATGAGCAAAAATTGTTCCCTAAAACTCCCTAACATCATATCTGTAGTCAACAGTACAGACATAATGACAGCTTGCTCGAGCGAAGGAAAGAACTTGCTCTTCTCCTGCTCTATCAGTTAGATCAATTTGGCAAGTAAACGTGGACCCATTTAATAACCTATACAATTGAGAGCGACGACGCTTCAACCATCTTGACGATTAAAATTCATTGTTTCCAGATGCCTGAATCTTTATCTCAAACTGCAAGATACACTTTTGCGTCTTCCGCAAACCTGCAAACAGTTCGCGACAGTTCAAAATGATATTGCCTGTGATTCCCTAGACCTTATGTCTAAAGCCGAGGAAGTCGAATTTTTGAATCGTAACTATCGCCAATGGACACTTTGCAAACGTCAACGAAGCAACATTGCTTGTGGACTTTTGCTTGCTCACGATGTTCGTGATTGGATCCGAGTCCTCGCCGAACGCTGACGTCAGCGCCCGTGTCCAATACGAGCTCAGCCGAGTTCACACCGAACTCTGCGCATCCCCCGTGTCCAATACGTGCTCAGAGCAGACTTGTGCTCGTTACTTGAGAATTGTAATGGATTACAATTACAAATTACCGAACCTTAAATGTAATGGATTGCCGCTACAAATTACTTTCGCTGAAAAGTAACGGATTACTTTACTCGTCACGTTACAAATTACTTTCTCGTTACTTTTTCCGGACACTTATCCAGAAAACATTAGAAACAATTTTGATATTTTTCACAAATGTTTCGTAACACTACTTTTCAGTTCTCACACGCCCGTATTATGGTATTCCTTGTTAAAATAAAATATCGAATTTAAGAGAAAGTGTGTAGATGCACTCCGTTCACCTGTAAGCTGACAAAGCACCGAAAGCTGCAACCACACCCGCCATCCCACTGGCTTACGACCTCCGGAAATGATCCCTGGAGTTGTGCAGACAAAGCTAGCGGTGCGCATGCTCAGTAGCAGCGTCTCCATTCGCTACGAGATTCTGAGCTAAAGAAGCGATCTGCGAAAGCTCCCTGTTGACTCGAGTGTTTCGCCTGTTTTTCACAACAAAAGAAAAACTTGGCTCTAACGTTACAATGTATAGCCAATGCAGAATGCAGGTGTCCCAGCTTACTTTGGTGTGTTTCCGTAGATTTAAGTTTTTTGTTCTTGCTGATGACAATGTGTCTTTTTTTTTTTTTTTTTTTTGGAAAGCAAAGTATGCACTGAAACTCTGGGTTTCCGTTCTGCTTAATGCTCTGAATTTTGAACATCTCATTAAGAGATGACCATGGAGACGGCGGACACTCCATGACCGAAAACTCGACCTGTCAGAGAAAAAGTGGCGGTTACGGGTTATCGATCGTTCATCGGTTCTCACTTCTATGCCAATATCCGTCGAGGCTAGGTGAGGGAAGGACATAGAGAGCGAGAGAAGCGGTAGCCATCGGTCTCACATAACAATAGAGGATAACACCACTATTACGCGTTCTCTCTCTCTCTCTCTCTGTCAGCACTCCTTAGATGGCCTAACACCCCTCCCCCCCCCCCCCACACACACACAATTCATGTCGACAGTTGACTGTAAAGTGAGGAGTGGACTCGGCCACGATGCCCAGACAAGTAAGCCCAAGGAAGTATCGTTCGTACCCTGGAAGACGATGCTCTTAGCTTCGCGACGTGCCTCAAGAGCGTTCTAGAATACATTGGCGGACATCAAAGACAAAGAGAATTCGACCCCCTCTCGCGAGACTATATCGTCTGTTACGCGAGTTGTGAACCCGCGACTCGCGTTTGATGTCTGTGCCGATGGCGGGAGACGTCGAAGAAGTTGGAAAGGAGAAAATGGTGTAAAAGACAAAAACAAACACGAAGAGCTTTCTCCTGTCCGGTAGAACAAGAAAAACACGATGGAAGGCGACGGAGAGCCTACTCGGCGTTGTCTTACTTGATCTTTGTCTTTCGTATCTTTGGACATGCCTTGCCCGTTTTTGTAGTTGTTGAAGTGACCGGTCATATAAAAAATCGTGTTTTTTTTCGGACATCTTCCCCTCCCTGATGTTTTCCATTCTGTTGAAGTTGCTCTCTTCATGCTGCTGAATGTTGAGCTCGTATTGCTCCAGTTACTGTATTATGATCATATTTTTAACAAGTAACGAATAACTAAAGTAATCTGTTACCAATATTTTGTAACGAAATTACATTACAAATTACTTGAAAAAGTAACGGATTACTTCACAAGTCTGGCTCAGAGTATGTGAGCAAGCAATAGCGGACAGGCTTTGGCGCGAACTTTTGAAAAAGGTCTATTTCGCCCGCTCTGTATTAGCCAACAAAATGGCGGCACCCGCAAGACTGTCGGCGAAGTGTCAGTACTCTTAAGCGTAGGCTATTGAGTGACCCTAGCCAAACCAAAGCTGTGCACACCGCTATTCCCTGTGGCACTCAATTTTGTTCAACTTAAGCTGAAGCTGCTGGATATGTGTCTTCTGGAATCTCGACTTCCGTCAACTTGTTCAAAAACATGGCTTGCACATGACATCATCGCATGATGCTGGTGTTCATTCTCACTTGTTCTTGTCAAAATATTGCAGACGCTTATCTGTAATGCGAAAGTAGAGCGCAGCTCTTGATGTATTTTAATTTTGTAATATATCGTGGTAGAGAAGGTGAAAAATATGTATTTAACTATCTGCTTTTTTACGGTGGGAGCCCCGTAATGCAACGCGCACGGTGTATGTTTTAACGTGAAATGTTGTTTGACTAGTTGCTCCGGATTTCGTGAAGAAGTGGCCTGTGACGTCACATGACGTCACAGTTTTCACGATAAATTTAACGGGAAAATTGACGTCACGTGACCTCAACGCCAATTCAGTTTCCCCGCAATATTTAGCGGGGAAAATGATATCAGATGACTTAAATTTAGTTTCCCCCAAATTTAACGGGAAAATTGACGTCACATGACCTCAACAGCAATTCAGTTTCCCCGCTAAATTTAGGGGGAAAGTGACGTCACATGACTTCTTGTTACGTGACCTATATACATATTCAGTTTCCCTGCTAGATTTAGCGAGAAAATTAACGTCACGTGGCCTCAACACCAAATTAGTTTCGCCACTAAATTTAGCGAAAAAAATTGACGTCCCATTACATCAATACCAACTCAGTTTCCCCACTAAATTTAGCTGGGAATTGAATTGTTGTATAGGTCTTTGTCGACCCATAATGCAATGTGCGCGGTTACGCCGATGCCAACGCAGCTATATCTGCACCGAGGAGCAGCGCCCTAAAAACGATTCGTTGAAGCTATTTTTCCGTTGCAACTCAAGAAGGTAGGGCGAGGGAAACGAAGGCCAGGGAGGGCGAAGCAGACGGCACGCTGGAGAGGAGAGGGGGAAACTTCCTCCTCTCCCCAGCGTTCCGTCTGCTTCCTTCTCTCCGGCCTTCCTTTATTTCGCCCTGCCTTCTTGAGTTGCTACGGACTATAGATGGATGCTGCAGGAGATGCGCTCTCGGCAGCAGGGCCACCACAGAGGCAGCTGATGTGACGTTAATAAAAGCCATGTATAGACCAACACGCTGTTTACAAACAAGTCAGCGTTTGGCCAGACCTGGTGTGGGCACTGCGCGCGCGCTTCTGCGCATGCGCCGTGCCGACAGCAGAACCACCGCAGCGGCGTGACGTCAAGGTTGCGTGTTGGCACCTAGCCGCCTGTATACTCTCCGGTCGGTGTATATATGCGGTAACTATCTCTCCCTTCCCCCACCCACCTCCCTTCAAAGGTTTATGGCTGCCAACGCCCTCATCTCCTGGTTGGCTCTGCAATACGCCCTGGGCCTGGCAGCCCTACGAGTCGAGCTCCTGAGCCAACCACGGTGTTCCCTTACGTCGATGTTCAGACGTCGGAGGAGGTTGGCCAGACACTTCGCGTTTCCGTTGCTTCTCTGGTGCTGCAACACCGCCGTGGGCTTCACGGTGGCGCTTCGACAGTCCATGCACTCCATCAACATCACCGGACAGCTGTCAGCACTCCTGCTCTACTCAATCTTCCAGGTGAGTTGCGCGGGAGGCGTGAATCTCGAAGATCCTCAAGCTCTGCTTCTGACCGATTGCTCTCCGTTCAAGCGGTGGTCCTCCGTGGATTCTATTTACGAGGAACTTTCAATATGGTGCCTGGAACGCGTCTCCGATTGGTGTGTTTACCGCCTCCACAAACCTGGTCCCTCGATTTCCGCCTGATGACGTCATCACAATGCCATGCTGTTGCAGGCCGCGATCCTGGCGGAGTCACAACAGCGGTGGTGGACGCGGCAGTCGTCTGTCCTACTGCAGATCGCTATCCAGCTTGAAAGTAAACGAAATCTTGGGCAGCCAGAAATGGGGGCGTCGAGACGACAGCGACACTCGCGTTCTCTCGTGCTTATTTCCAGAACTAATACACCCAACCGTCAGGATGGTGGTGACACCCGACGGCATGACACTCTGGCTTCTGTGACTTCATTTGTTTACACTTTAGGACTCCTTTCGATGATTGGGCAGAATAGGACCCTAAACACGCCAGTCAGACACGCGTTCTTGGCACTGTGCATGGTTTGTCCCAATTTGTCGATCTTCGAAACTCGAGGAGGCCCGAACACACTCTCGTCCCAGATGGTTCACAGCGTGTGGACGCTGGTCCTGGTGGCCTGGGCAGCCGTGGCCTTCGAGGGAAGCCTGACCAACGGGGTGCGGAAGCGGATGCCCGTGGGTAGCGGACAAGACATGGCCCCACTGTTGCGCGACTACTCCGATGCCCTGGGTTTCTTCAAACCCGAAGGCCGGTGCCTCGTGCGTCTGCTGGCCGCCTCGCTTGGCTACGGCGTCGTCCTCTACCAACTCACCGTTCCTTACGCGGCGTCAACCCGAAGACAGAAGAATTCAACCGAACATGCGTCGTTCGGGCCTCGCTACAGCTAGACGCAGCTACCAGGGCCCTACTGACGTTCTTCTCGTCTGTGGGCGATGAAAGCAAGGCACCGCGATGCCATACAAGGACGAGGATTATATTTATACTCCGCGACAACTTTTCTTGGCAATGCAGTGGAAGGTACAGGCCCGCGTCCCCTCTCCCATTTTGAGTGTGCGCGGGCTCTCCTCCTCTACCCGGAAATGGGGGAGGAGGAGAGCCTGCGTACACTCAAAATGGGAGAGGGGACGCGGGCCTGTACCTTCCACTGCATTGCCAAGAAAAGTTGTCGCGGAGTATAGCTATCCCGTTACACCCATAAAGATACGAACGAGGGTTATATTTAACTATAAACCATTAAGGCTAAAGCCCCTTCATGTTTCAAAAGTAGCGCAAGGTGCGTCGAAGCACGAGGCGCGTGCAACGTGCAGCCCTTGAGAAGATCATGGCGGTACAACGCAGCACTGAGTTCACCTTATGTTGTACGGCAATGAAGGCTAGAAGCTCGAGGTCATAGCGTTGGCAGCCGCTCTTAAGTCACGAGAGCTTGTGCCGCCGAAAATTGCCTCAGAGCAAGGAGCTCACGCTTGTAGCCTTTCCTGCGGTACATCATAAGGTGAAACAGAGTATAGATTTCAGCACCGGATTTCAGACGCCATATTCTGCCCAGAACCCAGAAATGGCGAGCGGCACGTGTCCTGAGAATTTCCACTACAATGAATGGCGCCACTTTTTCCAGGATAGAGGGGCTTTAATAAAGGCGAAGCTAAGCGTCCTCCTGCATTTTTTTATTCGATTCGCCAAAAACGTTTTGTTCTGTCGGTGGTAGAACATCGATACTCATTGCCTATTTTCTGCTCAACAAATACCTATCATTTTCCTGCCTAACAAAACGGACCACTCGGCCTTTTTATAATCATTTACATTAAATTTAATCCCCTAAGCGTTTTTAGCTTTGGAGAATTTCTGACCCACAACTATTGCTCGCTTCAAAATTTTAATTTCTCGCCTTCATATTAAAGTTCTTAGCCACAAACAAAATAGAAATGATTAAAAAAAACTCACTTTTTCTATTCTGGTGGAAAAGGAAGAGCAGCGGAGTTGTACTATGAGCCGCCATCTATGAGCGAAGGCGGCAACAAGACAACCATGTCTTGTTGCCGCCTTCGCTCATAGATGGCGGTAGCTGTCCAGAGGGTTGTGTCGAGATTTATTTGTCCACGGGCACGAAACTGGGGAAACTAGCCCTTAACAGCTCCGCTGTAATATTCAGCGCTGCCATTTGTTGGTGGAGCCGCAAACTAAGCCGTGAGCGAGACTGGTTCGTCCAAAACGGCTGAGTGTGTGAACCTGGGAAAGCATTATTGATCTTTATTCAAGTAGGCTGAATCTCGGATCGAGAGCCCGTCCGTTAACACAGAGGTTCGGGGGAGTTCGTTGCTCATGGTGTAGAAGAGGAACAACGCGCCCACAAAACTGCTCCTCAAGTCCTCAAGTCTTTTGTGTGTGTGGACTTGGGTGACTGTTTGGAGGGTGCGCTGTTCCCGCTGTAGAGCACGTCGGTGGCACCGCTCAGGCACTTTACGCAAGTCTATGGGGGAAACACACGAAAGTAGGAATATTCTACACTTCTACCCGGTGCTGGAAGGCAAATATTTCATGATGTGCTGCGATCATTATTTCGGAGATGGAATGGGTATTTGTGAAGCATTCGAACGCCCCATTAAAAAATCAAACGTGCCAGAGCACACACGGCTGAGCTGGCCAGCTTGCTCTCGTAGTGGAGTTAACAAAGGAACTTGCGTCAATATGACCGTCCTCGGAGAAGCCTAGAAGTTTATGAAGGTCGATAAAATCTCATGATGAGAGCGGCCTTTCGGGAGTGAGCCCGAACTCCGCGTAATAAAGCCTCCAAGCTTGATGTGGGCTAAACCAAATCAATCGAAACCGCCACCGACTCCTCGGTAAACTCTAGGTAACTCATGTCTCATTGACTGCATGCACCACGTTTTTCGGCCAGTGGGGTCACTTTTGACTAAAAACATTTATTTCTGAAAGCTTTGAGGGTTGTCAGTTTTAGTATTTGTGCACAATCCATTCGGCAGGCTTCCTGAAAAGCAGCCAAAAAGTTTCATTGCCGACAGAAGCTTAGAAATGGGGGAAACGGCACTTATTCTCGTTTTCCCATAGAGTCCCATACAATGGTTGGTGCCAAGCAAATGGCTGCCGGTGGTGTCACTCGACTTCAGAAAGAAAGACCTCGATCTGCGATCCAGCCTATCACAATAGACATCAGTAGAAATCACACGATCTATACTCATTCTGAACGGTCCTGAACGGCTTTACGCTCGTCCAAATCAGTTAAGGGGGTAACATTATATATTTTACGTGTTGTCAGCTTGATAATGTTTAACCCTTGTCACTTGACCAGCAAAGGCTCCAACTATAAACAAACAAAATCAACCTACAGACTGTTGTCGTGCTCAAATATCACGGCATGGATCTATAAAGCTGGCGAAAGCGAAAGTGTGCAGTAAATAATTGAAGACGCTTTAATGAGTGCCGAATGGGCAGACATCGATTGGTGCAAACATCAACGCGTCCTCCACTGTTTCCATGTCCCACCTCGCGTTCGCGTGCACTATGTACCGTCTTACAGTTACTTGGCGAACGGCGAAGGTTATAAGGTCTCAGTGGCCCAGTCAGCATGTCGGAGGGAGACAAGTGACTGTACTCCATATCATTAGTTTCGCGCACTGCTGCCAAAGCCACGGGCGGGGGAGAGAAAGGGGAAAGCCGATTTTGTACGAATTTTGAGTGGCGGGCTAATCTTTTAGGGAGAGAAAAGCGAAGCCTTACTCCCTCCCTTCTTCTCAAACTGCTCGGGTGACGCTCTTGTCCAAGCACGCCTGCGGCTGTCACGTGCTTTGCCGATCCGTCACTCTGATTGCCTCGAAGGGGCCGTAGCGTTCGCTCTTTGTCAAGTCGCGGTGAAACGAAGCATAGCGTGCACGACTTGGTTCTTGATCTCACGGAGTCTGTCTTGCCCAATGCCGGCGGACACGGTCACGTGTCCATTGCTTGTGCCAGAACGCTTCATCCCTCGCTTGGTGTCAGGTGACTAGAGCGCCTCTTTTACCCCACATGTATATCTGCCATCATCGAGTTTTATTGGTTTGTTAGATTTCCTAACCCGCCCTGAGGCCCATACGTTATTTATTACTGATCTTGCCACCAAGGAAAACATGCAATGACCAATAGCTCCTCCAAAAAAAATTGCTTAAGAATTTTTTGCAATTTTTAAATTTGAAAAAAAAAAAAACATGTAGAGCATTTTAACGAAAATGTTAATTTTTATGTCTGTATGAATAATTTATGACGCTCAATTCCCACACCCTCCCATTTCAATTTGCATGAGCAGTATTCCGGCGTGTGGTTATGTAATTGATGTTGCAAGATTCGCGTTAGAACTTCCGGCCAGCAGCCCTACAGCAATGGCTAAAATTTTTCCCAACAGTCCTTACGCCAGTGTTGCTGTATCTGGACAGTAGATCAATCTTTCGCTGCAGAGGCACTCCTATCTTATTTCATTTCTTTTGGTTGCGCTTTCTTCTAGAAAGAAGGTTGTCAGCAAGTAACATTTAGCTTGTACGTGTCCGGTTGTCCCGCTGATGAAGCCATGCCCTTGTGAACATTGTCTACACGCAGGGCCAAGATAACGGCTTCCTTCCTCGATTTGCAATCCCAAGAAAAAGAAGGGTTCGGCCATCTTGTTTCTGGAAAATTTACCCTGCCGACGTCTTCGACTCCTGTGATCACGAACGGCACTGTCTTCGCGATGGCCATTGTGTCCATCCGCGTGTCCGGCGGCAACAAGACGCTTATTTTGCTGAACAGTTTGTAGAGGATCCTCAGGTGTCTTTGCCTTATTCTTGCCCGTGTCGTCGCTGATATTCTGGCTGACCAGCGAGTTACAGTGCTGGAGAAAAGACAGGGACCAGGTGGTGGTGCTTGACAACCTGATGACAATTGTGCGTGAGGTCGTCGCTCTCCGTTTCCGGAGTCATCTACCACTTCACGCAACCACCGATTCTTGGAATTCCAGTCTGGTTATCTGGTTAGTTTTGGATTCAGCGTCGATGTGCTTCTTTGTATCGCGT